AACATTGTTATTAATGGTATAATTATTTTAATATCTCACCACCCGTTTACTGCCACAGTATATCTTTCTCCAACTACGGCTGTAAATAGTTGGCTAAAATCTGTTTGTCTGCAGACATTGCTCCAAATATCTTCTTTGTGTTCCTCAAAACATAGACATTTAAATGTATTTGGTACAACTTGAGGGTGAGTAAATTTTAATATTTGTGGAACCTATGTATTACTTTAACCAATGTGTTACTAGATGGAACCTCGATTCAGGAGACGGAATGATGGCAGCCTGAATCTGACAGATACAGTGGAGGCAACAAAAGTGAAGGAAGCTAACAAAGGAAAGCCCTACAGAAAATCCCTGTCCCCAGAGGCAGTACTGGACAAGGCCAAAAAAGCTTAAATGAGCACCATGGAGATGTGACTAACAGAAAACATCTGCTGGGTTTCTTTGAAGAGGGGCCCCACAGAAGGAAGCAAAGGCTCCAAAGAACATGCCCACAATAAAGTGAGTTTTAGAGAATATATTGAGCTCTTTCCTTCTGGCAGAATTGCCTTTGCCATGAAGGAAGAGCAATATGATTGGAAACCACCTAGCAGTCTGCCACGGCCTAGCACTCTGCCATGACCCAACACACTGCTCCTACCCAGCACTCTGCCACAGCCCAGCACTCTGCCATGACCCAACATACTGCTCCTACCCAGCACTCTGCCACGGCCCAGCACTCTGCCATGACCCAACACACTGCTCCTACCAAGCATTCTGCTCCTACCCAGCACTCTGCCCAGGGTACCCCCAGGATCCTTCAAATGAAATGCAAGGCTTTTTAAGACCTTTTCAATAACATTTCAAATGAAATTTAATGCCAACTTTGTACCCATTCCGGCAAAAGTATGAGGGAAAAATGTCAAATCTGTATAAAGTTTGAACCCTAGTAAATAATTATGTACAAGTGGGCTACTTGAATGATGTAAAGCATTTTATTTAAATTTTCTGTTATATTTAATACGCAACAGTGTGGTCAGCACCCAGTAGTGAATATGAAAGTCCAACGGAAGTTCAAACATGACCGAAAACCCGTTGTCACATGTTGCAGTGCCCTCTTTTGGACACTTGAGGTCACTAGTTTGTTTTGTAGATTAACTTCATTTCCTATAACCCTTTGCACTTCTGATTGTATTCTGTTCCAGCTGTTTCTTGTTTGTTAATTTAGCCCTGTATTTATAAACCCTTTTGTCTTGTGTTTTAGTTGCCTTAGGATTTTGTTTGTCCCTCACGTCCGGTATGTTTGTTTGGTGATCTAGTTTTGTATTGGCTTATTCTTAGATTGTTGTTTGTTTTTGTTAACACTTATACCCATTTTTGTATTTTTTGTCAGTTCTTTTGTCTGGACTCATTTCTTGAAGATTCTGTGCAAGATTGGGAAACTCCTTTTGTCTTTGTCTAAATAAATTGCTTGCTTTTTGTGTTTTATGATTCTCCATCTCATGACACCCGTTGGCCTTATTTACCTGGTCAGTCAGTTCTTTAGTTATAAAAGGATCTGAATTAAGTAATATATGCAGTTTTGTTGCTTCCACTCAAAGGTGTAACTGCAATCTCAGAGTCAGAAACCATGGTTTTAAAAACCTCTGTAATGTTCTTATTCAGTGTGAAAGAGTGGTGCACAGGGATTGTTTTAAAGACCCACATCACATCTGCCTGCAGAGCTGGTGTTGAGCCACGGTAAGGTAGGATGTTCCTTTGCTGTGGTGGCAGTGTTGGGCAAACTACTTGAAAAATGTAATGAGCTAAGCTATTAGCTACTCTACTTAAAAGCTTACCTCTTAGAATTGTATCAAGCTAAGCTATAAACTCCTTGGCAAAAGTAGCCTAGCTACATCTAAGCTATTTTTTCAATTTTCATATTTAAATTGAAGCAAGTTAAATCCAAGTCAATCATATCTTAGTGATCACTGATCAATAAAACTGTCAATGAAACATAATTCAGTTCAGTAATTTACTGTAAATAATATGCTGTACCAAACAGAAACAAATTATAGTATATAACATTAAAAACTAAAAATCCAATAAAACCAGGTGTTACACAAATTAAATACTATAGTCATTTATAGTAAAGGGAAATACTTTACAATAAGCATTATATTGTATATATATTTACAACTCTTCATTAATGAATTACACCCTAATCTAATCTCTCTCAGTCATCTTTCAATCAAGCAAGTTTCTCGTGTCAGCCCAATGATTGTTTGGCTACATCACCAACCAGAGCGAGAGGTGGCAGTAACGCATCAAAAACTTTGTTATCGACCACCGTAAAACAGGAAGAAGAAACTGTCATTCTTCTAATGTAGAAATTTCTTCATTACTGATTGTTAAAGCTGTTACAGTAATCAAAGAGGTTTCCGCTGCACAGAACTGCACAACAGGTGGTTGGCACTGACAAGCAGTAATACACACGGTGTGTTTGGCAACCCCCAATATGGGAGTCCAGGGCCGTAACACCCATTGTCGCTAACGTTAGCTTAAAAGATTTCCGGCATCAACAGCAATAGGCGTCGCGGTCATTTCCTGGCACAGGCTTAACCCAAACGCAATTCGGATTCCTTGGCCACAGTGACACTTTCCCATTTTAGCCGACAAACTGGGCTAGCCACTATCTTGTTCTGTGCCTCACCTCAAGTAACCATATGACAGGTGCGCATGCTTTCACTCTTTCTGCTATGACGTGGAGTGCAAGGTGCACTCAACTTTACGCTGCATGAATTTTTAATTAGCCTACATTAGTAACAGTTCATTTTGTTACGGTATGAACTTAATCCTAGGAAAGGCAAAAATAAATGAAGAAAATTAAGACCTTTGTAATGAAATTTAAGACTTTATTTACAAAATTCAAGACTATTAAGGCCTTCATTTGAAATTATGAAAATTAAGAGTTTTTCAATGCTTTTAAGACCCCATGGGTACTTTGGACATGGACCTTCAGCATGCAGTGGGACGGTTTGCTGCTAAGTGTGACATGGCAGGAAAAAAACAGCAGCTCAGAAACCATAGTGCTTGACTGGAAAAAGGTGGCCATCTCCAGTTTGGAGGAGAGTCCTTACCCCAAATAGAGTTCAGGTATCTGCGTTTTTTTTTCTTCATGAGGAATGGAATGTGAGATTTAAAGATGGATCAGTGCAGCAGCAGCAGTAATGCAGTTGATGTGATTGTCGGTTGTGGTTAAGGAGCTGAGATGAAAGGCAATGTTCTCAATTTACCACTCAGTCTAGGTTCCTACTCTTACCTATGGTCATAACTGAAAGGACAAGATCTCGGATACAACCAGACACATTTTACAAAGTGTTATGACCCGCTTGTTTGAGTTGCAACATAAAAGAGAGATGAGCCAACAAAATAGCTTGAATGCAAATGATTTACACTGTTAACCCTTACTGTAGATTATGCAGTAAATAACTGTAAAATAGCCAGTGTTTTTCTGTAATAAAAGGAAACAGTATTTTACTGTAAAAGGAGCAGGATTTGTATGAAATTTTGTAGTGCAAAGAATAAATTACAGTAATTTACTTTATGTACCCATTACAGATAGTTACTGTGATAATAAATGGTAAATTACTGCTCAACCATGATTACCCCATGTACTCTGATGCTTTATGTTGCTATATATATATATATATATATATATATATATATATATATATATATACTATTCAGTTTTGGTATGTGTATGGTCAGTATTGAGGAGAAAGTGAGACAATGCATTGATGATAAGCTAATTTTCTCTGCGGCGATCTCTGTGTTTTCTTTGGTTCCTTTTATGTTTTTAACATTGAGTATCAGGAGTCAACCAATGTCTGTCACAGAGCTAATTAAAAGGTAAAGATATTGACGAGATGCATTTAAAGGCAAAAATATTCACACAGAGCAACCAAATTATCACAATCATTAATATATAACTTTGTTTACTTTTCTATAATTATTTAAAAAATATCTTAAACAGCACGTACATACATTTTCGCAGAGACTCAATGAATTTGTTTGAAAAACTTCAAATGAAGTTGGTAAAAAATGGCATTAACAGTATAGTATAAAGACTTTCCTAAATAAATGTATTAATCAAGTTATTTGTTTTTTTTTTTGTTTTTCTTTATTTTTTTGCTTTGGATGAAGTTTTTTATATTTTTATTGTTTTTATTCAATGATATGTACATGATTGTGATAAATGTAGGCAATTCCTTTGAAAATATGCTATCTACCAGGGATGTCAAACCCCTGAAGGGCCGCAGCCCAGCAGAATTTAGTTCCAGCCCTGCTTCAACACACTACCTTTAGATTTAGTTTGATCAGGTGTGTTTAATTAGTATAACTGCACTGTTACTCTGTAGATTATGCAGTAAACAACTGTAAAATAGCCAGTGTTTGTAAATAATTCATTGATTCATGTCTTCTGTGCAACTTTTTGTCCAAATGTTTCTTAAGCTGTGCCGAATGAGTGAAACTCTGTAGACACTGATCAGATCTGTACGGTTTCTCACCAGTGTGAATCCTCTTTTGTGTTTTCAGATGTGTTAACTGATTAAACCTCTTGTCAGTTTGAAGACTTGTATGGTCTCTCCAGTGTGAATCGTCTCGTGCAGTTTCAATTTGAGCTGTAATAAAAGTCTTCTCACACTCAAAGCACATATACTCGTTCACACCAGTGTGGATCTTCATGTGTTCATTAAGGTTTGCTAATCTGTTGAAACTCTCCCACACTGAGTCCATGTGATTGGTTTCTCTCCAGTGTGGGTCTTCATGTGTTTATTAAGTTCTGATGAGTTGCTGAAACTCATCCCACATCGAAGCTGCAGTCACACTAGTGTTTGAGCATGAGAAATTCTGTTGTTCGACGCTGCAAAAGGAGTGGGATTAAACAAGATGATTAGACATTCTAGTTTCTCTCCAGTGTGGCTCATGATGTGTAGATTAAGGGATGATGATTGGCTGAAGCTCTTCCCACACAGAGTGCATGTGAATGGTTTCTCTCCAGTGTGGATTTTCATGTGTTTATTAAGGGACGATGAATGGTTGAAACTCTTCTCACACTGGGTGCATGTGAATGGTTTCTCTCCAGTGTGGATCCTCATGTGTTTATTAAGGGATGATGATTGGCTGAAACTTTTCCCACACTGAGTACAAGTGAATGGTTTCTCTCCAGTGTGGATTTTCATGTGAATGTTAAGATGTGATGATCGGTTGAAACTCTTTCCACACTGAGTGCATGTGAATGGTTTCTCTCCAGTGTGGATCCTCATGTGTAGATTAAGGGATGATGATCGGTTGAAACTCCTCCCACATTGAGTGCATGTGAATGGTTTCTCTCCAGTATGAATCCTCATGTGTAGATTAAGGTATGATAATTGGTTGAAACTCTTCCCACACTGAGTACATGTGAATGGTTTCTCTCCAGTGTGGATCCTCATGTGTAGATTAAGGGATGATGATCGGTTGAAACTCCTCCCACATTGAGTGCATGTGAATGGTTTCTCTCCAGTATGAATCCTCATGTGTAGATTAAGGTGTGATAATTGGTTGAAACTCTTCCCACACTGAGTACATGTGAATGGTTTCTCTCCAGTGTGGATTTTCATGTGATTGTTAAGGTGTGATGATTGGTTGAAACTCTTCCCACATTGAGTGCATGTGAATGGTTTCTCTCCAGTGTGGATCATCATGTGAATCTTAAGATAGTCTTTTCTTCCAAAACTCTTTCCACACTGAGTGCAGGTGAAACGATTCTTGTCACTCCTTTTCAGAATACCATTAGTCTGTAAATTAGTTTTTTCCTCAATTTTGACATGATGTTCCTCCTCTTTTCTCCCCTTATTCTCTTCAATTCGGTCTGAAAAAAATAAATAAAACATTAGTTTTCATTAAGTCTTAAAGTTTCTCATTAAAAGCTGAAAAGTGAAAAGACACTGGAAACATTGGTTACACTCACTGTAATTTTGATGCACATTAAATGTAAAATAAATCAGATCATATTCAATCCAAGATGGTGACGCGTGCACAATGCGAGGCTCAGGGTCTTTCCAGTTTCTGCATTTTTGCAGTATTATTCCTGCTCATTTCGGGTCTGTTCGTGCAGAACAGTGGTGCCTTTACATTGTATACCCAACAGGAGCTTTTGGATTGGTTTGTGGATTCCGGACAGTTTTATTAGCAATCTTCAACTCATCCATGAGACTGCCAGAACACCCCGGGCTGGGCGCCCTGCCCGGCCGGGCGGAAGTGCTCACAGACCGCGCATAGAATGTAAACAAAGACCGGGGAAGCGCGGCGGGCTAAGAGCTAAGCTAAAGCTAACTCCACACCAGCTCACTTTACCCAGCATCTTTCTCGCCAATGTACGGCCACTGGTGAACAAAATGGATGAGATTCGACTGTGCATCAACCACAGCAAAAGATTATGGAACTGTAACATCATGATTTTCACAGAAACATGGCTAAACAGCGGGATACCAGACAACGCTGTATCGCTAAAGGAGCACCACACATTCCGAGCGGACAGAACGGCGAATGACTCCAGTAAGACCAGAGGCGGAGGATTATGCATTTATATTAACAAAGCTTGGTGCACAAACTCTGTCGTCATTGGGAGACATTGCTCTGCTAACCTGGAATTCCTAATGGTTAAATGTAGACCTTTTTACCTACCACGGGAGTTCACATCCACCATAATATCTGCTGCTTATATTCCTCCCGACGCTGATGCAAAGCTGGCTATGAACAAACATCATGCAGCCATCAGCAAACAACAGAATGCTCACCTGGAGGCTGCTTTTATTGTTGCGGGGGATTTTAATCACTCAAGCTTAAAGACAGTGCTCCCTAAATTCCATCAAAACATTCTCTGTCACAGAAGGGGAAACAAAACATTGGACCATGTTTACACAAACATAGCTGAAGCCTATGCTGTGACCCCCCTCCCCCACCTGGGTCAGTCAGATCACCTTTCTTTGTTCCTTACCCCCAAATACTCACCCCTCATCGACCGTGTGAAGCCATCAGTGAGGACCATCAAAGTGTGGCCAGCGGGGGCAGACTCCACACTCCAGGACAGGTTTCAACACACAGACTGGGGTATGTTTGCTTCCCAGGCCACACATGGCTCTCACACAGACATTGACAGTTACACTTCCTCTGTTCTGGAATATATTAACACCACCATAGACAGTGTTACAACCCAGAAACAAATCACCACATACCCGAATCAGAAGCCATGGATTAACAAGGAGGTGCGCCTCCTGCTGAAGGCACGCAACACTGCCTTCAGATCAGGGGATGCACAGGCCTACAGCACTTACAGGGCTAATCTGAAGAGGGGCATCAAAAAGGCCAAGCACTGCTACAAGCTTAAGCTAGAGGAGCACTTTTCCAACTCTGATCCTTGGCGCATGTGGCAGGGCATCCAGGCCATCACCAACTACAAACCCAGCCAGTCCACACCCACTGACGTCTCCTTCCTGAACGAGCTAAATGACTTTTATGCCCGCTTTGAAAAAGACAATAAAGAACCCTACACCAGGATCACTTCCTCCACCAACCACTCACCTATCACACTCACCTCCTCAGAAGTACACATCGCACTGAGTCGTATCAATGGGCGTAAGGCTGCTGGACCAGACGGTATTCCTGTGCGTGTCCTCAAAGTATGTGCAGAACAGCTCGCTGGGGTATTCACAGACATTTTCAACCTGTCGCTTAACCTAGCAGCTGTGCCAACATGCTTTAAAACCACCTCTATTGTGCCAGTGCCCAAACACTCCAGCCCAACATGCCTAAATGACTACCGCCCTGTAGCACTCACACCCATCATCATGAAGTGCTTCGAGCGGTTGGTCCTGGCACATCTAAAAGACTCCGCCATTCACACTGGACCCACATCAGTTTGCTTACCGTGGCAACAGGAGCACAGATGATGCAGTCTCTATAGCACTGCACTCTGTCCTCACACACCTGGACAATAAAAACACTTATGCACGAATGCTGTTTGTGGACTTCAGCTCAGCATTCAACATTGTCATACCCTCCAAGTTACTGATCAAACTCAGAGACCTGGATATCGACACATCACTATGCAACTGGATTATGAACTTTTTGACTAACAGACCTCAGAATGTTAGATCAGGTCACATCTGCTCCACCAGCGTCACACTCAACACTGGTATACCACAGGGCTGTGTGCTGAGCCCCTTCCTTACTCCCTTTTTACCGTTGACTGTAGGCCTGTTAATAGATCCAACACCATCATCAAATTTGCAGATGACACCACAGTGATTGGTCTAATCAGCAATAATGATGAGACGGCCTACAGGGAGGAGATACAGCATCTGGCCACTTGGTGCACCGACAATAACCTGCTCCTTAACACCAACAAGACCAAGGAGCTCATTGTGGATTTCAGAAAGGGACGAACAGGCTCACATGATCCCATCCACATCAATGGGATGGCTGTTGAGCCTGTCTCATCCTTTAAGTTCCTGGGGACCCACATCTCAAAGGACCTTTTCTGGTCCACCAACACCTCCAGCCTGATCAAGAAGGCTCACCAGCGCCTATTCTTCTTCTTAAGGCAACTGAAGAAGAACCAGCTTTCATCAGCCGTCCTGGTGAACTTCTACCGCTGCACAATAGAGAGCATCCTGACAAACTGTGTCACAGTCTGGTATGGAAGCTGCTCTGTTGCTGAGCGTAAGGCACTGCAGCGGGTGGTGAAAACTGCCCAACGCATCACAGGGACCACACTGCCAGCCATAGAGGACATCCAGAAGAAACACTGTTTGCGCCGAGCACGCAGTATTCTGAAGGACACCTTTCACCCTGCTCACAGACAGTTTTCTCTCCTGCCCTCTGGCAGGCGCTTCAGGCTCCCCCGGACAAAAACCAGCAGACTGAGGAACAGCTTTTTCCCCAGAGCTGTCTCCCTCCTGAACTCTGCCCCACACTGACTCTTTTGTCCCCCCAATACACCCCCCACTCTCCTCTAACTTAAACTCCTCGCAATAACTGCACTGTTTAACATTTGCACATTTAAAATTTGCACATTCACTGCACCACATTGAACTGTTTACTTACTGAACTGTACATAACCACTGCATATGGGCATTTGTAATTATGTACACACCCACTATACATATACACTTGTAATCATGCTTATTTATCTGCATACTACTGATTATTAATAGCAACCTGTACATATATTCATATATTGTAACATATACACTTGTAATCATGTTTATCTATCCCTGTACATATATTCATATATTGTAACATATCAGGGCTCGAAATTGCGACCATTTTGGTCGCATATGCGCCCGAAAATTAATCTATGCGACCTCATAATATATTTGGGCGCATTAGTGCGACTGCAGACAATGGTTGTAGTGCGACCTGTTTTGATTTTTTGTAAAAACGTGCTGAATTGCTCTTCCCTGCCGCTATATTGGTTCATATTAGCTGTCAATCACTCAAGGTATTCCGCTGTCAGATGACAGGGAAGGAGCTTTTATGACCACGGGAAATGCAAACGGCAGAAAAGTAAAAACTTAAAGCACACAGGTTTGCAAACCCCACCTAAAATTGAGGCGCAGATGAGAGCGATCATGACACGTCACGTGGTGAATAATGATCCACCAGCTGAGATCAATCGAGTACGCGCTTCATGGAGAAGGCGCCCGAATCTCCATGCGTTGCATTCACTGCGTGTTCAGTGCAAATGTCTGCTAAAAGTCAAATCTAATACTGTACATATCATCTCCAAAGAAGCTCGCCTTTACTAAGTTTACACTGAAACTGCGGCTCATAACAAACAGCGGTATTCCGCCGGTGGTCATCGCAAGAATCCTGCTCTGCCTGCTCATAAATTGGGTCGGCTGACTCGCCAGCTTTTCCACTAACACAGAAAAATGAAGATCATCTCAGACTGAACCTTTGAATTGACACAAACTGAAACCAAATCTTTTAAAGAGTGATAGAAGTGAGACTTTACTTTCTTTCTTTTGTCTATTCTTTTTTGAGGTGTATATTATTTTTATTTTTTATTTATTTACTGATGACTGCTTTGCAGCTTTCATCATTGAATTGAATGATTTATTATAATCTTTTGTTTGTTTTGTAGCAGAAATATTATTTATTAAATTGACATGCATATAAAAACAGCAGTACAAAATAAATATTTCTTACTGCAATGGTTCATTTTTGTTTGATGCAAACTATACAATTATTTTTCATAAAGTAACAGACTTTTATAGCAGATAACCTACATTCATGCACATTCAAGGCAGCATCATAATGAGAAATGTAATTCATTTTTACTATTATTGTCATTTTCATCATCATTAATATTCTATAATTATTAGACATTCATTTTGGAATTATTGCACACAAATATCAATGTCTTCGCAGCATTAGTTATATAGTTGTTTCTGGTTTTTGTCAGTCCTTTTGATGTTGTTTTAAAGTACAATAAATCCCTTAAAAAACAATTTGCAGCTGTGCTCCATCATTTTTGGTGGGTGCTCCTAAATTTTTTCTGGTGCTCGTAAATTTATTTTGGTGCTCCTAAATATTTGAAGTTGGGAGCACCGGTGCTACCAAGTAAAAAAGTTAATTTCGAGCCCTGCATATACACTTGTTATCATGTTTATCTGAACACTACTGATTATTAATAGCAACCTGCACATATATTCATATATTGTAAATCTGCTCATAGCTTATCCAACCTGTAAAAAATGTTCATAGTACATCCATCTGTAAATATCACCATAGTTTTCTATAACTGCACTTTATAACTTATTCCTGTATCCTGCACTTGCTGCTATTGCACTGCTGGTTAGACCTAAACTGCATTTCGTTGCATTGTACTTGTACATGTGTAATGACAATGAAGTTGAATCTAAAAGGTTCCTACAATTACCCATTTTTTACAAGATGTAAAATAAGACTTTGGTGTTCCCAGAATGTGTCTGAGGTTTCAGCTCAAAATCAGATCATATACCTTGTAGAATATTTAATTAAGGGGTCAGAGGAAAACCAAGC